TGGAGACCTTTAAACACCTTGTTCAGTCACACCCACTCCCTCGGTTCCCCAGAGGGTGAGAATATCTAAGCTGGGTTTCTTTAGCCAAATGGCTCCGGGTCCTCTTGCTATAGCCACGGGATGGTCTGCGGGTTCTTGCTCAGACCCTGAAGTGGAGGTGGCAGCCTGCATTTCTGTGGAAGCCCACACACTGGTTCTTTCCTTTCGGGAAGAGAAAACCTGAATTCGAACCCTGGGTTCTTTCCTTTCAGGAAGAGAAAACCTGAATTAAGACCCTGTACCATCCACAGCCATGGCAGTGCCCAGATATATGGCATGGGAGAGATGAGCATATGCCAGAGGGTACATCAGTTTGGGACTAGCCCTGGGCCTGGAGAAAGGGCATGATCACTTTCCCCTTCTTTCCCGGATTACCCCTGTACATACAGGTATACTGTGATTTCCCCCAACTTAACAACCAACACACACATCTCTTTCTACATCACACTCCCTTCCAGTGACTGCCCTCATGCTCTACTCTCCTTTACATTAAAACTCTAAAGACAGTATCTGCAGTCCCCTTGTCCTCTCCTTCCATTCTCTCACGACCTCCAGGTTACACCCCGAGGTCACTGCTGGCCCATCCTCCTGAGCCTCTCTATGGCTCACTCTCTCCTTGGGAACACTTGTTTCTCACTTGATTTCCAAGACACTACGCTGCCACGCTTTTCACACTCACAGTCACATCTGTAGGTTCCTCCTCATCGCTCCAACTTCTCCATGTTAAGGTGCCAGTGGTTTCCTTCTCCAGCCCCTGCTTACCCAGAAAGTGACACTCCCCCCCTAGCCGATGTCGCCCAGTCTCCTGGCTTCATGTCCCATAAACTCCCACGTTTATATTCCAGCTGGGCCGTCTCCCTGAACTTGACGTTTCCATGTGGATTATTAATAAGCATCTAAAACTTAATATGAAGCCAGAGTGAATTGACCTCACCCTCAACCTCTGCCTAGACCCTGTCCCTCTCATAGTCTTCCATCTGTCTGATGCCTCAGGCGAAAACAATTTTGTGTTTCCTGTGGCCCAGAGTGGAAACCAGAGCCACACGCTGACCTCAGCCTCCTCCTCTCTCAGCTCCGTGGCTCCGGTCTCGCAGCTGTCCCCACGCAAGCCAGGTGGGCCCTGCATCCCTGCTCCCTCGGCCTGGGAGACCCTTCCCAGAAATCCAGCTGACTCCATCCTTCACCGCCTTTGACTCTGCTCAAATGTCACCTTTTCCTAAAATCTGGATGCTCTTTTATAAGCTGCAAACCCTCCCTCCCTCTCCCCGTCTCAGTTTGCTCCACAGTTCTCACCTCCATCCCAACATACTTCTTGCTGGACTTCTATGACCTCCTACTGCTGTTGTGTCCTCAGCGCCTGGAACAGTGGATGGCACAGAGCAACTGCTCATGGGAAACGAATGCCTACATGGGCCAATGTGTGTCTCCTACAAAGGGGCAGCCGCTTTGGGGTTCCTGCCTTTTATAAAGGCTTTGGGATCCCCTTGTCCCTCTCTCTCTCAAGCATAGACATATCCCCTCTTTCTCATAGTTAGAAATACCCCCTCTCCCTGGGCCCTGGGATGGTGGAAAGGACCAATGAACAGGGAATAATGCCAAAAGACGAGCGGAACCCAGCATGTCACAGCCACTGCAAGTTGCAGTGAGCATGTGCCTGCTTGCTGCCACTGCTCGGGCCCCATGGGACCTGAGTCCTGGGATGCACTAGGGTGTGGTCACTGGGGTTAGCATTATTGATGTTGAGGGGCTTCTGGAAGGAGGCTTCTGGCTCTTTCTACCAGACCCAAGGAAAAGTACCACCTGCCTGAAAGATTTAACCACACTGCCTAGTAGACTAGGCCTCTGCAGTGTAGACAGACCCAGAGAAACTATTACAGGGGCATGCGCCTCCTTTCTGAGAGGAGAGGCCCCTCTGATGAGGTGTTGGTGCTCTGCTTCTTGGTCTGCCTCCTTTCCTCACTTCCTGCCTTGCAAAATGCACCTCGGATGAAGACAGCCATTGGTCACTGCGCACTCCCCAACGTGTGGTTCCCTGAGCCTCAGCCCAGGCTCCGCCTCAGCTCCTCCCACTGTCTGGAGGCAGGACCCCAGGGGCAGGGAAACAGTCTCCGGGATGTGGAAGGGAACAGCACTAACTGCTGGATGCTGGCCTGGCCAGTGGACTCGCCCGCTCGGGTTTCAGTTTTTCACCTGGAACATGGGGATGACGACAGTTCTCTAAGGTTGGAGGAGTCCTCACCGAAGCTGGAGCGCATGCCTGTCTCCGTAATGCCTCCGGGGCCCGTGTGATGGAACACGGGAGCCGTGTCTTCTCAGCTCCCAATGAAGGCCACCAATGCCATTTAGAACAGGGCTCACCCATGCTTGGTTCTCAGGAAATCAATCCCATTCGAAATGCACGTTAAAGTCTGTGATGTGGGTTGGTGGGGCAATGGTATCAACTTCAAAAGCGCGTGCTGGCTATCCCGTTACTTCCGAGAGTTTACGGGTTTACACAATGGCCATGTGTCACCAGAAGGTCTTAGGCAAATGTAGGAAAAGAAGAAAAAAAAGGAATAAAGGAAGAGGGACCAGAAAAGGCAGTGACTGGGATTGAGAGGAAAGAATAAGGAAAGGAAGAAACGGAATGGAAGAGAAGTAGACTCTCACGATGGAGACAGGTGCCATGTGCCAGCACTCTGAGTGGTCCCTCCCCGGGGGTGTTTCCATGGGGTGGGAGTCCTTCCAGGTGCCACTCAGAGTCGAACTTGGTTTGCTGTGAACGAAGGGAGAATGCAGCTTGGGCCTTTTTCGGAGATCTAGGATGCATGGGGACTAAGGAGACCCTGACATTACAAGAGCAACCTCATTTCCAAAGCAGCCCCCGCTGCCCCCTGGACACCACCCCGCCTCTTTGCTCATGAAACGTTGGTTACTATCTAAATAGGAAAAGACATGGAAGGCACATTCCTAGCAAAAGGAGGTTTCAGGGGCCTTTGGGTGGCAGAGAATGGAGAAGACTTGGCAGAGATAATGGACAGGTCATGGACACAGGGAGCTCAGGCCATGCATGCACAGGAGGGCAGGGGGAGGCCAAAGTAAGATGGGAAGATAATGAGTAGTAGCCAAAGCAAAGTCTCCACACAGGGCAGGGTAAGCCCCCAGGATGCCCTAGGTGACAGTGACCTCAAGGACAGGTAGCCCGTAGAGAGTGAGCTTTATCTTGCTCTGACTGAGGTCCAGTTAATTTGAAAGCAGGCCCATGTCCACAGCCTGATCAATGCATGATCTGCTCCCCTGTGGCTCAGGTCCCATCTCCTCCTCTCGGCCTCTTGGACCCGCTGCTCACCCGGGCCCCCCTCCCACTTCCTGACGCCACGACAAAGCTTCTACCTCAGGGCCTCCCTGCTGCCTCCGCCTGGAATGCTGCTCTCTGCTCCATCACTACCTCATCCCAGAGGCCTTCGCTGACCGCCGTGGCTTCCTGCCTCACAGCCCCCTGCCTCCCTGCACTGGTCATCAAGAACTAATTCTGTCTGCTTCCCCCAATGGATGATAATCTCCATAAGAACAGATTCTGTTTTGTTTACTTCTGAAGATGGCTTAGCACAGGCAAGCCTCATGAAATAGTTGTTGAACAAATGTGTGAACCCAAAGCCGGAAGTATATATGAATTCTATTGATTGGTGTTCCAGGGTGGACTGCCTCTACAAGGAGTAGGAGGAGGGGCGGGAAACCACTGCAGATCAGAAACCCCGACTGCAACCTCATGAGACCCCAAGGCAGGAGCACCAGGCTCAGCTGCTCCCAAATCCCTGAACCGAAGGAACTGTGTGCGCTGATAAATGTTTGTTGTTGTTTTCAAACGCTACCTGTTGGAGTGATTGGTTTCGCAGTGGCAGGTAATCGTCACAAAGGGGATGGCATGGGGGCGGGCCAGCCCAGGTCAGAGTTGATATAAGAGGACCAGGATTGTGTCTTTCCTTGGTTAACTGTGCAGCCGCTTTCCGCTTCCGGAGCCAGCTGGTCCCCATTGGATTCTGCGACTCTTATTAGCCACAAATGCCACCCGTATCCTCAATAAACTTTATTTAGACACAAATAGACACAACAGGAAATACATACACAGATACAGATTATTTTCTCTACAGGATGAACAGACATCACAAAGGGGATTTAAAAAGTGGGTGCATGGAATGTAAGAAAATATTGCACAGTCCTGGTTCACTCACACTTAACACAGACACATATTTCAAAGGGAGACAGGGATATGCCGTCCCTACGGGAAGCTCAGTGGGTCTGTAACAGTGTACAGGTGTTGGGAAGGTACTCTGGAAGTGACAGACTGCTCACAACACTAGCAGGACTCTGTTTAAATGAAAGACAGAATCGAGGAGCCGGACCCCGCACAGATGCTCTGCAAGCTGCCAGCGAGGTCCTAAAGCAGCTTGGCACATAGGCTACATGAGCTGTCATCTTGCGGCTTGAAGGTCTGTGGAACCTCCACCGTGGTGTGTGTGCGCCATAGAGAGTTTACAGAGACACACGGAGGACGTGGCGACTCGACATGCATGCTGGCTTCGAAACCCACGGGACAGAGCATTGACAACAGGTTATAAAATGGTGGCTTTGGGAACAAAGAAAGGAATAATAGCCAAGAAGACAACAAATGCTTTGCAAATGCTGAAACATCCACGGCAGTGTTTCCCACCGCGCCACCGGGGGTCCCCGACTGGGAGCCATCGGCCTCTGTGTCCCGCTCCACGCCACCGGGGAGGGGGTGGATGTCTCTTGCAAGTCTATGATTGCCCTCTAAGGCCACTGCTGTCAGAGCCATGCCTGTCCCCAGAACAAGCTGTCATGGAACCACCCCACATGCTCCTGTCCCAACAGGCCTCCGGCCTCCACACCGTCTTTGCATTTCAGACCGGGGGTCCCTAGGCAACCTCTGTTATTTTAGTAAAAAATGGTTTCCACTGTACCCTTGCTGTGTCCTCTTCCTAACGTGACAAATCCGGATGAGATGAAGTTATGGAGATCAGCTCCTCCACTTCGGTAAGCATCCTTCCCATAATGTCCTGCAAGAAGATGGGGCAGAATTACCTGCGTGCGCATCCATGACACCACAAGGACCAGCTCCCCGGCAGCAGCACTGCACTGGGCTTCCAGCCAGCGGCCAAGACAGAGGTAGAAGCAGTCAAGAAACAATATGTACATATACGTTCACAAATGTATATGTAAATATATAATATATAATAGAAATATATAATATATTTCATCACATAAATATATAGTAATATATATCATAAATATACATATATTTAGATATAGTCAGTATATATTACTGTGCAACAAAGTGTGCATATATACATACATAGATATGCATATATATATATATATATATATATATATATATATATATACTGCAATAAAGAAAAACGTTCTGGGAAGGTCACACTTCAAGTTGAAAGCAGAATGGGTAGAGTGACACGTGGCTTGGTTTTGGCATTTCTGCCTGAGCACACCAGACATCCGTCTATTTGTTCGACTATCCTCTCTTATGCCTCGGCTTTCTTCCTTCTCTTTCTTGCCTTATTCATTTGTTTTCTTTCTTCCGAAAGCACAGAGGCAGGGTTGTGGTAGGGATGGCTCTATGTACTTGTGTGTTTATGTGTCATAGCACATCCTATGGAACCACACAGCCTGGGGCTTAGGAGAAACCAGCATCACTGAAGCTGGCCAGTAGAATGGATCCTGAAACATTGGAGAGAGAGTTCTGTGGTGGCCTGGCCTGAATTTCTGCAACAAAATCTATCCCTCGCAGCCTCGTGCATCTGCCTGCCTGGGTGGTATGAGGAAAGACTAAGGCAGGCTAGGATGCTGAAAGAAGAAATTAAAAGAGCAGGAAAATTAATGTTCTGCTCTGACATTCACAATCCGCTTAAAATGCAGACGCTGTGAAGAAAGACAGGACACCCTGAATGCCATCCTAGGTACATACTTATTAAGATGAAGAAGAGCCATATCTTTGTCATGTTGCCTTAAGAGCATATTGAAAACTGTACTTACAATCCTAACAACATTCAGAGCTACCCAAGATGTGAAGTTAAGTTAAAAGGTGGACAGAAATGCTATTATTAAATACTAGAGCCCAGTGCACGAAATTTGTGCATAGGTAAGGTCCCCAGTGGCTGCCGGCTGCCAGACAGGGCCTCCCTTCCCGCAGTTGGCTGCCCAGCCCCTTCCCCTGGTCGAAATCCTGGTTGAACTCCTGGATGAGGGAACACTTTGCATATTAGCTTTTGTTATATAGGATAATCACAAAGCTGCAGAAAATTCCCACCAGTGCATTGAAAAGAAAAAAAAAATGAAAGAAAGTTCACCTGGTACTGACAACTGTCTTCAGGTAGTTGGAACACGACTTCTCTCCTTTCAATGTTTCTATATTTCCCAAGGTTTATTTCTAATAGAAAAATGTGTGACTAGTGTAAAGTCAACCTAAACCATACTTTTTCTTAGCAGAGCACCTTCTGCATTAGCAGATCTCAAACTTGGGTGCAGGTCAGAGTCATCTGGAAGTTTTTAAAAACATGGCTGTCTAGGCACTACTCCGGGGTTCTGATTCATTTGGTGGGGCCTGGGCTTGGGGAAGCGTATTTTTGAGGAGCTCTCTAGGTGGCTGTCATGTGCTACAGGGAAGGAGAACGCTTCCTGGAGCTCATGGAGACACTGTCTAAGTGTGTTTACTCACCAGGGCTCAAGGACCATCTGCTGGGACCCTGGTGGGTGCAGGAACCACCCACTATGTAAGTCCCCAGCTCCTAATGCTCCCTCGCCCTTCCTTCCCCCACATCAGCCATTCTCAAACCTGAGTGTGGATCAGAAAAACCAGGAGGGCATGTTCAAACAGACTACCGGTCCCCGGTCAGAGTTTCTGGTTAGTAACATCTGGAATGGGGCACAAGATTCTGCCTTTCTGTCAAGTTGCCTGGGGCTGCTGGGCTGCTGGGCCCAGGGACCAACTCTGGGAACCGCGGTCCCAGCACGTCAGGAGCATAAGAAAACAGTACCACTGTTTCCTTCAGCCCCTCCACTCTGAATAAGTGTCTCATTCCTCAGGGCACACAGCTTTCCACGAGGAACTTCTCTTGCTATAAAATACTGGAGTTGCAGCCCAGAATTTTATAGAAGAGAAGAATTATTGGAGCTGAACTAACAGGCTTCTGCCCAGATCCCAAGCCATCTCACAGCCCCAGAAACCAGACTTTAGTACTTAGAGAAACTCATCGTCATCAAGGAATGAAGGAGAAAGGCAGAGGCTGTGGGAAGGGGTGTGCTTCAAGTCTCTGGGACAGAGGGAACCTTGTCCTGTAATGCAATCACTTTCTCTCCATCCCATCTCCTGACAACGGGAGAGTAAGGAAAGGAAGTAATAAATCAGAACCCTCATAAATTTGGATCTCATTAATTCAGGACCTGTGGTACACCCTGCAGAATCTGGGCTGGTTTATTTTTGTGCTCCTTATAAATAAAAATTTTGATAAACAAATCAATATGGAAGAAGCTGGGAACATAAAATGGTGCCTGTGCTACTTACAATTATCTTTATCTGTCAGCTGGAAGAAGCGTCCTTGGGACGTTGCCCTAGTGCTTTGGGGATGTGCTGTTAGAAAGGAAACTGACATTTCCTGACCACCTACTATGTGCCAGGCAGAGGGACAGCTGGAAATAGAGCTTAATTTTTTTGCACAATAATAATGAACACATTGTAGCATGATACAATTCATAAAGATTCTTCACATATGGTATTTATTTAACACTTGTTTCATTACTGCATGGTAAGTTGTCTATTATGGTTTATTTCCCCATTTTATTGATGGAAAAACCTGAGGTCAAAGTCCATAATCTTTCCACAACTCGTACCCTTGCAACTTCACCCTGGGACCTGCTGTGTGCCGTGGTGACAGATCTCAGCTGGGACCCAGTGGGCACACTGAGCCAGAGATCCTCCAGCGAAGTTGGAGCTCAGAAGTGTTGAGCTTCAAGGACTGAGGTTTTGAACTGAGAAAGGGAGGGCTATGCTGAGGGGCCAGGATCAAGAGCCTTAGACAGGAATAAAGAATTTATGGTCAGCCGAAACCGGCGTGGCTCAGTGGTAGAGCATCTGCCTGTGGACTGAAAGGTCCCAGGTTCGATTCAGGTCAAGGGCATGTACCTTGGTTGCGGGCACATCCTCAGTAGGGGGTGTGCAAGAGGCAGCTGATCGATGACTCTTTCATCGATGTTTCTAACTCTCTATCTTTCTCTCTTCCTATCTGTAAAAAATCAATAAAATATATATATATTTTTAAAAGTGGTTGAATTAAAAAAACAAAGAATTTATGGTCAAAGCAGTTTGGAAATCACAGAATTAAATGAAAAGTAACCATGGAAACCATATCCAGGGGCCTGCCCGTGAGCACCCCACTCTCCCGGGAGCCTTCAGACTTTTCAAAGTCGTCTCTGGGACACTTTTGAGGAGGGCACAGTGGCAGTACCTGCTTTTGCTCAAGCCAGGCTCCTCAGACGTGAACACATCAGACCTACCTGGATGGCCCACAGATTGCCGGGGCCCAGACCCAAGAAGTCCTCCTGCAGTAGGTCAGAGGTGAGGCCCGATCACGTGCATTTCTAGCAAGTTCTCCGGTGATGCTGCTGATAACCCAGGACCGGGAACCACACTTTATGAATATTGTGTTAGAGAGAACTAGCGACAGGTCACGCCCCCGCTGGCTACAGGAGGTCAAAGTCCAGAAGATTTATGACTTCCGTGTCCTCCAAAGAGCTGGTTTTAGCCTGAGCAAGGGCAGTGTGAGGTGAAGAATGGCTGCCAAAAGTGGAGCCTACACAGTGGACAGTCAGAGAGCAGGGAGCCAGCCCCTTGTCTGTCCTGGTGATACACTGAGTTCATCAGATGATGTACGAATGAGGATCACAGACTCCTTTAGCCACAACACAAACTACCACGTCATTCTCCGTCTGGAAGTCCTCAGGCAGGAGGCCAAGGGAGGGCAGACACTGCCCAAAGTGCATTTGCAGAGAAATGGCCATATAACCAGCAGGGCTCCAGGAGGACATATGCAAGAGCTCTGTGGGCACCTGTGTGTGGAGTGTGGGCACCCCTGCACTGAGTGAGAGCACACCGTGTCACATCAGAGGCAAGGACACAGCCCTGACCAGTTACAAGGGTGGCCTCCGGCTGCACAGCATACCCACCACCGCCTGGAAGGAACTGTACCATATGGCACAGCCACCAGTCTGCTGCTCCCCCTCACCATCCCCATCCTGGGGAGTCACAGCACAGCTGCCTGCAGGAGACAGGTGAGAGCTAAAGAGAAGTCTGAGGCTTGTTCTGGGAGATGCTGGCGGCTCTGATGGCAAGGCAGCCCTGAGTGAGGAGGGGGAACATTTCTGTGTAAAAGAGATTTGCTACAAGAAACAGGAGGGAAAATTAGGTAATATCTGAACCATGATGTCAATAAGACTTAAGAGAACGTTGCACCAAAACTGGTTTGGCTCAGTGGTAGAGCATTGGTCTGAGGACTGAAAGGTCCCAGGTTCGATTTCGGTTGGGGGCATATACGTTGGTTGCGGGCACATCCCCGGTGGGGGGTGTGCAGGAGGCAGCTGGTTGATATTTCTCTCTCATTGACGTTTCTAGCTCTCTATCTCTCTCCCTTCCTCTCTGTAAAAAATCAATAAAATATATATTTTTTTAAAAAAGAGAACTTTGCATCTGTGAAATTACATCAACAGCCACAGAGAGAAGCAGACTGATCAGAAAAGTTCAGCTCAGCTACACTATGGACAACAGAGGGGATACTGAAGGAAACTGGTGGAGAAAACCTGAATAAGAGAGGTGGACGAAGGACAGAGGGACAGAAACAAGGGGAGAAAAGAAGGGACAGGACAACTCCAGTAGCTAATATTTCTTTTCTTTAAAAAAATCTTTCTCTCTCTCTCTCTCTCTCTCTCTCTCTCTCTCTCTCTCTCTCTATATATATATATATATATATATATATATATATATATATATATC